GGTATATAGTATATACTTTCTAGTGTGGCTTGGTCAACATATTGTATATGTTAATTAAAACAAATATAACAGCACACAATGTCAAGACCCAAAAGGAGTATCAGGGAAGAACTAAATCAAATAATAAAGAAATTTACGTGAACAAAAGGTCAACTGTGAATTATACAGAGTACAACCGAACATCTGGGGCCACATTCACGAAAGCACTTACGAACCTGTACATCTTTTCTCAATCTTTGGCGGCTTTGTTTACAATTATTAAACAGTTAATGAGCTCCGAAGCACCAGGAGGCTGTTTATAACAATAACAACAGTTGATTGGCAAGTTTTCATGCTTGTAAACTGTTTAATAAATGTAACCAAAGCCGTCAAAGATTGAGGAAAGATGTACACGTTCGTAAGTGCTTTTGTGAATCTGGCCCCTGAACCGTTAATATTGAGCAGAGGTCGCAGCTCTCTGATATATAAGAGTTCCATTATTCTCAAATCCGTTTCAAGTTACAGCCCCGCTCCCGTGCCAGGTAAGTTCACTACGGGCTCACCATAGCCCGTGCTACCTGGAACCTTTTTGGTTCCCAGCACCTGAATCTAAAACAACAACTCAAATCCGACTGGCCATTCGTGCATGTGTCCAAGATTCACACACACAATATACACACACACAGGGCCTCGTAGCCTGGTGGATAGCGCGCAGGACTCGTAATTCTGTGGCGCGGGTTCGATTCCCGCACGAGGCAGAAACAAATGGGCAAAGTTTCTTTCACCCTGAATGCCCCTGTTACCTAGCAGTAAATAGGTACCTGGGAGTTAGTCAGCTGTCACGGGCTGCTTCCTGGGGGTGGAGGCCTGGTCGAGGACCGGGCCGCGGGGACACTGAAGCCCCGAAATCATCTCAAGATAACCTCAAGATACTTTATTCCTGCACTTTTCTCAGCACTTCAATACACTTCTTGATTGGACAATAAACCAAAGTTGTGTCATTTAAGTCCACGAATTTGTCAGGCGTTAATACACCGTGTATATCAGTGTATACAACCAGAATGTCAGTGTAAATACACTAATATATTTTAATGCTTAAAACTCCCGGGAATCAAAGTATATCTAAAAGTCGATAACGAAGGTGGATTGCGCCCTTATTGTTCTAGTAGGTTGAGAGGTGGTGATGCCTAATACCTGGATCAGACTCCACCGAGTCGGTCCATACATGTTCTAATTTAAAGGACTCGGGAATTTGCTTTAGCAAAGCCTATTCGATCCTAATAATTTTCACAGCAATATACACGTTTTACGGGCAAATATTGCCACCATCTCCACTACCATCACCACCATCTCCACCACCATCACCACCATCTCCACTACCATCACCACCACCATCACCACCACCATCACCACCACCATCACCACTACCATCACCACCATCTCCACTACCATCACCACCATCTCCACTACCATCACCACCACCATCACCACCACCATCACCACCACCATCTCCACTAGGATAATCACCTCGACCACCATCTAACTCCACAATTACAACCAACATTTCCACCACAACCATCCAAACATCATAACTCAAACAACCTCCACAGATTACAACCACACCACCAACGCCACCAGCAGCAACAGGATAACAACTACCAGGTTGATTACCTGGTTGGGCTCCACCTTAAGATAACAAGTGACGCATCAGAGTAGACCTCTCCTTTGGCCAGTACCCATCTACTTTGGTCGCTCTCCCACGGTGGCGACAGTCGCCCCCGTGGGACCGCCTCTGCGATAGCCACCGCGATAGCAACAATATCCAGCAGCTTCCACGATAGCTTCCAATGTTGAGGCTGAAGTGTTAAACGAGGCAGTTATCGTTCTCAAGATATATTCTCATCATTTAGTGATGAGAATATATCTTGTAAAAAAATACTTCAGATATCTTGTATGAGAAGTTTGGGTCGTGTTACAGCCATGACGAACATGGATTACATTGTAAACTTTTTTGTAGTGCATGAATTACAGCATTTCAAATAGACTGTATTTATCAGTCATTACAGGAAATAAATGAAGTTTTATTTGCTTGAATCGATCGCATACACAGACTAATATAACAATTGCTAGTTACGGTGAACCTGGACCAGTACTGTATCCAACTGTAATTACAAAAATAATTATAATACAGAAGCAGCAACAGCCTTGTTGATTGAGGTACCTGGTTGATACCTGGTTGATGGGGTTCTGGGAGTTGTTCTACTCCCCAAGCCCGGCCCGAGGCCAGGCTCGACTTGTGAGAGTCTGGTCCACCAGGCTGTTGCTTGGAGCGGCCCGCAGGGCCACGTACCCACCACAGCCCGGCTGTGGTGGGTACCACAGCTGATCCGGTGGTACCAGATCCGGATCTGATCCGGAACTTCTCTTAGAAAACCGCCCAGTTTTCTCTTGAAGATGTCCACGGTTGTTCCATGTTCATTGTTCAGCTTAAGAGCGGTGTTCTCTCACCAGTGAGCCGCAGGTGTGGGTAGAGGCGCCTCTCTGCCCCCAGCTACCACTACTTCTTATCCAAGCACGCGACGCAAAGCTTTACATTCTGCTTTTCCACAGTTCCTCAGATTTATTGGAACCAAATTGTCACACCAAATGGACTGGTGGGTACAGCGACGACCTCGCTTCTTGCAGATGGGTGTTCGATCCCCGATGGTCCAACACAGAGACAGTAGAAGCAAGAACATAGGCATTTAGTGGCCTATTATCATCCATTATGCCATTCATCAACTTGTTCATCTCAATCACGTCCTCTACCACTTCAACCCTAAAGCCAATATAAGCTTCGGCAAAGCGTGAAAAACTTAGTAAGTCCACTACGGGCTCACCATAGCCCGTGCTACTTGGAACTTTTAGTTCCCAGTTCCTGAATCTTAACAACAACAATATGAAAACATGTATTTTTGAAAATGTAAGGAGTGCCTTGCGAAACGCATCCCTAGGCGTCAGACCATATTAAATTGTGAAAATGAACTTTGGAGAGTTAATTTTTCAACTTCCCTCGACAGTGAAAAAAAAATAAGAAATATTAAGAAGATTTGTGTTAGAATCATTAATCTTACCCTTTCGGTCATATTATATATATATATATATATATATATATATATATATATATATATATATATATATATATATATATATATATATATATATATATATATATATATTAATATAATAATCATTATTTGTTTAATACAGTGTCTTTCGCATCTTGAGTGTGTAGATATAATTACTTTTTTTCAGTCAAATTGGCAATGTGGCGTCTTCATCGGCTAATATATATCATTAATTATAGATGATACGATTGGTTGTTAGTGCAAGTTTTTGTGTGGCGTGGGGGAGGGGGCGTGTGGGGGAGGGGGTGTGTGGGGCTGTGTGGGGGAGGGGGTGTGGGGCTGTGTGGGGGAGGGAGGAGGGGGTGTGTTTTTAGTATGTGTGCCTGGAGGATCGAGCTACGTGGTGGACTTGAAATGGTCCATTAAAAACAAAGGGGAAGATAGACCATATCAACACTTTCGGCAGCCTCCTCCGTGGGAAGAATCGAGTCTAAAGTTAATCATTGAAGGATTACCGGAGCTACGTGAATGTGGGCGCTTGTTTGTGTACATGTGTGTATGTGTGTGTGTGTGTGTGTGTGTGTGTGTGTGTGTGTGTGTGTGTGTGTGTGTGTGTGTGTGTGTGTATGTGTGTGTGTGTGTGTGTGTGTGTGTGTGTGATAGACGCAGAAACATCCAGTCATTTATTTATTAATGAGACTCCTATTTATTTGTCTCCCATTTATTAATGTCCTGCTGCATATTATCGGTACACATGTGTGTCAAAGACACAGTCACGTGTAAATGTACTAATACGTGTCCCAAATGATAATACAAGACACGTGTTATTATACATATAAGAGGGGTAGCAAGTAGCCCTCACACTGAGCCCACGTGGCCAGGGGTAGAACAGTGGCCAGGGGTAGTACAGTGGCCAGGGGTAGTACAGTGGCCAGGGGTAGTACAGTGGCCAGGGGTAGTCCTGAACATCAAGACGGAACAAGACAGTTACTACTGCGGGTGCCACAAGGAACAATCAGAGAACACTGAACACCAGAGGTCCACGGTATCCTCCCAGCATGTACAGCAAATATTGAGGGAACACCAGTGGAAGTCTTCAAGAAAAAGCTGGATAGTTTCCTGCAAGAAGTGCCGGACGAACCGGGCTGTAGTGGTAGTGTGGGCTTGCGGGGCCGCTCCTAGCAACAGCCCTGTTGGTCCAAGCTCTCACAAGTTAGCCCTGGCCCGGGGTTAGGGAGTGCAAGAACTCCCAGAATCCTATCCAGGTACAATCCAGGCTACTACATGTGTATAAGTACACTGAAAATATTATAATGATCTATAACAGAAGTTACAGGGTGACTACTGTATAAGCTGAGGGTGGGGGTGGGGCTACTGCAGGAGCTGAGGGTGGGGGGGGAGGGCTACTGCAGGAGCTGAGGGTGGGGGGGGGGGAGGGCTACTGCAGGAGCTGAGGGTGGGGGGGGGAGGGCTACTGCAGGAGCTGAGGGTGGGGGGGGGAGGGCTACTGCAGGAGCTGAGGGTGGGGGGGGGAGGGCTACTGCAGGAGCCACAGGTGTAGCTACTGCAGGTAGTAGTTACTGTGTTTGGGCGTGAACCCACTCTTTGACTTCGGGCGTGAAACCTTTTTTAGGACTCTTGGGACCTTCCGGCCCACTGGTTGCAGTGGCCTCGCGGCGCTAGTTCCTTTGCGTGGCGGCAGTTCCCCAGGACGCCACCCACAACAGTCGACTAACACCCCAGGTCCCTAATCACAGCTAGGTGAACAGAGGCAATGGGTGTAAGGAGACTTGCCCTGCCTGGGGTAGGGCAACTGTCAACAGTACGCGGCTACTTCAGACGCCACAGGTGTAGCTACTGCAGATGGGGGGCTACTAGAGGACTACAGGAGACACAAGAGGAAGGACTACTGACCTGTGTAAGAGCGGCTACAACTACCGCCACTAGAGCCAGGGGGGTGGAGGCAGAAGGCGCCCCCAGGAGGGGGCGAGGGTGGCACCACAGCATCATGGTGACACAACTTGTCCATACACAGTGCCCAACCGCCTCTATCTCAGCATAGTGCCACTCAGGGCTGCCAGTACACACACGCGGCAGGGACACACATAGACATATATATATATATATATTCCACTACCGTTTTAATCACTCACGAAACCAAACTATATCAGTTAACACTTAATTAAATCTTTTATGTCAAAAAAGTATTAAGTTTTTTTTCCAGGGGGTTATAATATTTTTTTCAGATACACAAAAATCACTTAGAAATTTAAGTCATTACTACACATTTTTCCTGTTATTTGTATGATGTTGTAAGGCACATGATTTTCCTAGGAATTTGAGCACAATCGCTTAGCGCCGTGTTCAGAAACCAATTATATCACGAAGGTTCACTTTCCCGTAGATGTAGATGCTTTGGCGTGAGGAGATGTGGCAGGCTAGTGTGTATACATCCGTGTTGAGTGCGGCGCCGGAGGACGAGCAGGGCGACGGGCACACGCGCGTGTGTGAGAGTGTGAGAGAGGCAGCGTGTGGACCGCGTCTGTATGGGAGCGCGAGAGCAGGGTGATGTGATCGCCGCACCGGCCAAGTTCCGACTGACTTGGGGAGTCGATCTGGAGGCGGCGAGGGCACCGCGGGCACGCACGCACACACACGCACACACACACACACACACACACACACACGCACGCACACACAGCAGCCGCCACCACCCCGCCCCTCGCCACCGCTCACACCCCCCTCCGCCCCGCCCACACTTTCTATTGAGCACCTTAAGAGACGCTTTACACTACCCAAGACCCCGCTGCTTGTGCAACCCGGCTTCTCACCCACTGCCTCGCTGATCTTACCATATCTATCACATCCTTAACAATGTCATGTATTACCCAAAAGGAAAAACTGTAAAACTAACATTTTGTATCCATCGGCCGCGATACATCGAGCTTTGGGTTGCCTCGGTTCCCACGTTAGGCAAAACAGTCGTATTTTTTACGGAATGACAAAATGAAAGTACGCCGAGTAGCCAGCCAACCTCACCTGTATCGGGAAGGTTAGTTGGCAACTACTGGCGGGCGTACATACAGGCGTACATACGGGCGTACATACACCAAAGATGAAGAGCAAACATGCGCATCCTGCTAGTAATTACCTATCAGTGACTACGGGAGAGTGAGGTGTAGCTCTTGAAGCTCCGTCCGCCACCCTTGTTGTACCTGTTGTGTTATAACTGAAGTATTCTGACGGTGAGAACCTTTGTGTAATCTGTCCTTTAAGTTGTGGGTGGAGGTGGTGGACAATGGTCCAAGACGGACCGAAACGTCGTCGTTTCTTCATCTTCTGGCGAGTAATTTGGTCATCAAGACAATATAATTAAAACAGAAAGAATGACTACTATACAACAAAACTCAAAATGCAAAAAAAAGGCAACAAAAACCAGGAATACGTCGCTAAAAAAGGTTTCAAATTTCTGGGCAAATCCCCGCGGAGTTGACGTTTCCGCAAATGTGCATTTGTGTGAGTGTGCCCCTCGGGAGGGCGGGAGAGTGACGTCAGGGCGGGAGAGGGACACAAGAGTGGTGGTTGAGGGGCCGCCCGCGGGAGTGGCCGCCTCCCCGCCCCACCGGACACCACCACCGCCGCTCTCAGGCCCTCTCATCTTCACATATAACAACACTCCCTCTTGTTGTTATAGATTCAGCTACTCGGAACAAGTTGCAAGTAGCACGGGCTATGGTGAGCCCGTAGTGGACTTACCTGGCACAGGAGCGGGGCAAGTAGCCCGGGCTATGGTGAGCCCGTAGTGGACTTACCTGGCACAGGAGCGGGGCAAGTAGCACGGGCTATGGTGAGCCCGTAGTGGACTTACCTGGCACAGGAGCGGAGCAAGTAGCACGGGCTATGGTGAGCCCGTAGTGGACTTACCTGGCACAGGAGCGGTGGTAACAACACTCACCACCATTACTCTATAGACATAAAAGTGAGTGCATGCGGTGGGAGAGTGTGGCGAGCCTGCTCCCGACGCTCACCTCTCCATACATTACACACACACATGTATAGCTGAAACCTCCACACCCACACTCCCTCACACATGTATATATCTATGTATACCTTAGTATATTTTGGTACCAGTGTCTTGTAGACGCGTGTTACTGAATATGAGAGTAGGGATGACCTCAATGACTAGCACAAATCTTCTCTATTTCTTATGTTCTACTTCACTTGATAAGTTTAAAAATGAACTCTCCAAAGTTCACGAGTTTTATTATGGACTGATAATAAGGGGTCACTTTCCATGATCCTGTCAACCTTTTCAGGGAGATATTATATATTGTATATATATATATATATATATATATATATATATATATATGTCGTACCTAGTAGCCAGAACGCACTTCTCAGCCTACAATTCAGGGCCCGATTTGCCTAATAAGCCAAGTTTTCCTGAATTATTATATTTTCTCAATTTTTTTTCTTATGAAATGATAAAGCTACCCATTTCATTATGTATGAGGTCAATTTTTTTTTATTGGAGTTAAAATTAACGTAGATATATGACCGAACCTAACCAACCCTACCTAACCTAACCTAACCTATCTTTATAGGTTAGGTTCGGTTAGGTAGCCGAAAAAGGTAGGTTAGGTTAGGTTAGGTAGGTTAGGTAGACGAAAAAACATTAATTCATGAAAACTTGGCTTATTAGGCAAATCGGGCCTTGAATAGTAGGCTGAGAAGTGCGTTCTGGCTATTAGGTACGACATATATATATATATATATATATATATATATATATATATATATATATGTCGTACCTAGTAGCCAGAACGCACTTCTCAGCCTACTATGCAAGGCCAGATTTGCCTAATAAGCCTAGTTTTCATGAATTAATGCTTTTTCGACTACCTAACATACCTAACCTAACCTAACCTAACGTTTTCGGCTACCTAACCTAACCTAACCTATAAAGATTGGTTAGGTTAGGTTAGGTAGGGTTGGTTAGGTTCGGTCATATATCTACGTTAATTTTAACTCCAATAAAGAAAAACTGACCTCATACATAATGAAATGGGTAGCTTTATCATTTCATAAGAAAAAAAATAGAGAAAATATATTAATTCAGTAAAACTTGGCTTATTAGGCAAATCGGGCCGTGCATAGTAGGCTGAGAAGTGAGTTCTGGCTACTAGGTACGACATATATATATATATATATATATATATATATATATATATATATATATATATATATATATATATATATATATATATATATATACACCTTACGTCGCTGACAAACAGAAGAGTTTGGGGAGACATGATCACCGCATACAAAATTCTCAGGGGAATTGACCAGATAGATTAGCACTGGTGGTACTCGAACAAGGGGGACACAGATGGAAGCTGAGTACCCAAATGAAGCACAGAGACAGTAGTGAAAGAACTTTTACAGTATCAGAGTAGTTAACAAATGGAATGCATTAGGCAGTGGTGTGGTGGAGGCTGATTCCATACACAGTTTCAAGTGTAGATATGATAGAGCCCAATAGGCTCAGGAACCTGAGCCGTTCTCAGAGTCTGTAGGAAATGTAGATGTTTATCTCTCAGAATGTTTGGTAATATGTTTATTGTTTGTGATGTGTTTATATGTATGTATTAACACGATGTACTGAACGGGGTGAGAATAGCTTGAGCTACCTCATCCCTTTGTGTGTATTTTACCTCAATAAACTTATTTCAATTTCAGAGTCTGCCACTCTTAAAAATATTTAAAAATATAACCATTTGCCTTACCAGAAACGTATTAACCCAAGCAACCCACCTAACATATCAGGGTCCCAATGAACAGCAAACGTCCATATTACGGTGCTTTAATATGTACAAATCCGTCGTCTGATGAGCGGACAGGTGGGGGCGCGAGAACGGGTTGATCAGTATGCGGGAGAGGCCGACACACACCGCCGGGATATGAGCCCACGGCTCCGGCCGCCTCATCTGCAGTAACACCAGCCGCGACCTTCGACGTTAATGGTCATTGGTATTTGTCTCTTAACAGCGGCTGTGTTGACAATTATTGCCAATAGTGCCTGTGGTGGTAACACTGGTCTTGTAGTCGTGGTTGTGGTGGCAACAGTGGTCTTGTAGTGGTGGTTGTGGTGGCAACAGTGGTCTTGTAGTGGTGGTTGTGGTGGCAACAGTGGTCTTGTAGTCGTGGTTGTGGTGGCAACAGTGGTCTTGTAGTGGTGGTTGTGGTGGCAACAGTGGTCATGTAGTGGTGGTTGTGGTGGCAACAGTGGTCTTGTGGTTGTGGTTGTGGTGGCAACAGTGGTCTTGTATTGGTGGTTGTGGTGGCAACAGTGGTCTTGTGGTTGTGGTTGTGGTGGCAACAGTGGTCTTGTATTGGTGGTTGTGGTGGCAACAGTGGTCTTGTGGTTGTGGTTGTGGTGGCAACAGTGGTCTTGTATTGGTGGTTGTGGTGGCAACAGTGGTCTTGTAGTGGTGGTTGTGGTGGCAACAGTGGTCTTGTAGTGGTGGTTGTGGTGGCAACAGTGGTCTTGTAGTGGTGGTTGTGGTGGCAACAGTGGTCTTGTAGTGGTGGTTGTGGTGGCAACAGTGGTCTTGTAGTGGTGGTTGTGGTGGCAACACTGGTCTTGTAGTGGTGGTTGTGGTGGCAACAGTGGTCTTGTGGTTGTAGTGGTGGTTGTGGTGGCAACACTGGTCTTGTAGTGGTGGTTGTGGTGGCAACAGTGGTCTTGTAGTGGTGGTTGTGGTGGCAACAGTGGTCTTGTAGTGGTGGTTGTGGTGGCAACAGTCGTCTTGTGGTTGTAGTGGTGGTTGTGGTGGCAACACTGGTCTTGTAGTGGTGGTTGTGGTGGCAACAGTGGTCTTGTAGTGGTGGTTGTGGTTGTGGTGGCAACAGTGGTCTTGTAGTTGTGGTTGTGGTTGTGGTGGCAACAGTGGTCTTGTAGTTGTGGTTGTGGTTGTGGTGGCAACAGTGGTCTTGTAGTTGTGGTTGTGGTTGTGGTGGCAACAGTGGTCTTGTAGTTGTGGTTGTGGTTGTGGTGGCAACAGTGGTCTTGTAGTTGTGGTTGTGGTTGTGGTGGCAACAGTGGTCTTGTAGTTGTGGTTGTGGTTGTGGTGGCAACAGTGGTCTTGTAGTTGTGGTTGTGGTTGTGGTGGCAACAGTGGTCTTGTGGTTGTGGTTGTGGTGGCAACAGTGGTCTTGTAGTTGTGGTTGTGGTTGTGGTGGCAACAGTGGTCTTGAAGGCTATATAAAGGTTCACCAGTTGTACTCACCTAGTTGTGCTTGCAAGGGATTGAGCTTTGGCTCTTTGGTCCCGCCTCAGATAAGGGTACGCTGCTGATGTTATCCAGTTAATATGTATTTGGTGATAGGCTTTGTCTACTTTTTCTGATATTTTTTTTTATTAACACTTGCATCCTCATTATCGTATATTATCTCTAGATTTAGAACGGAAGAAGCCCCCTAGTCACTTTGCACTTACTGATTGAAGTCAAGTAGCCATTTCTTAGACCATCTCTTCTGTATTCAGGATTATGTTATTCTCATCTGTTCTGACTCGTCTCGTATTCC